CTGAAATCCACATATCTGGAGGATGCTTAGATCTGGAGAAGCTGTAATGACATTATAACTTAAGTCAGAAGTAGCATTAATGACTCACGTTCTAACTATATGAACTAAAATTCTGCATGTCTTCACATATTACACACACATATATGTAAGTCACACATCTCAGAGTGAGTTTCTTAGGCATACGATACCTGGACTGTAAAAATCCAAGCGGCCACCACATGCAGCAAAAAGATACAGAAAAAGTCTGACTCTTTGTTCCCATTTAGTAGTTCCCATTTTAATTACATCAGTTAAAAAGCAGATACTTTCATGGATTTGAGATTGCTGTCACTGCAGTGGGTCTGCCTTCACTGCATTTTATGGAGAAATGATTTTGCATTAGGCGCACTTGCACACTTGTCTCTGCATTCAGGACAAGGCCCTTTACAACTGTATAAACCAGTGTTTCTCAACCTTAGTAACTTGTCTGGCTGGGAAATTCTGGGAGTTGAAGTCCACATGTCTTAAAGTTGTCAAGGTTGAGAAACACTGGTATAAACCATACAGGCTGCATATTGTCTCTGTCCCCCTTTTTGTGGCATTTGGGTTCTTCCCTTCCCCCTCCCACAAAATAGGACTGCCAAAATCATGGGCTATTTTTAAAATTAAAAGGCTAAAAGTTATTAATTCTGTCTAGGATACTTAATATACCTAGCTTGATTTAATCACATACATACTGTACATGCATGCAAAAACTGCACCATTTTCAGTCCTAGCCAGTCCTGTGGTGTCACTGAATGTCTTCTCTCTCTCTCCTTCTCTCTTTCTCTCTCTCTCTCTCTCTCTTTCTTCTCTCTCTTTCGGCGGCAGAAAGATTGCTTGTCCCTGCTTCTAAGGTTAGATAAACTTATATAAGCTTAATCATAACAACTTTCTGCAAAGAAAACTGGGAACTGTAGTTCCCAACACTGTTTTCTACAGTATTTGAAATCTCCAACTTTTCTTTAAAAAAATACATTTTCGTGCATTAGAAGAAAAAGGAAATGATTGGTAAATCAATTTATCCCCATATTCTATGTATCTCTAGTCTCTGACTTGAGGGAATTCATTGAACGCCTGAAATAAAATTATCCCAGGGAACCATAATGCCATTATTTATTTATATGATAATCACTGTTCCTAAAACAGGGTAGTCTTCACATAGAATTAGGTAAAGCTAAATTACCTAAAGGAAATAAAGATTTTTTTTTTCTTTTTGAACAAGACGAGGTGGGAAAAGCATACAGAGCTTGGGATTTTTTTTCCAAGTCCCCTCTCAACAATGCCCATAGGAAGCATTTGTATTTTCTTTGTGTAATGAAATAACCCATTGTGTCTGTGTGTTTCTGCTTGGCCTTCATTTTGCAACACAGTGTTTTTGTGTGCAGCTGTGCACTGGAAAGTATAGAGCAAATTTCCTGGAAATGTCTTGGGGATTTTTTTATGATTAGCACCCTTTTGAAAGAATGGAGGCCTCACAGGGGATGAACATGTGCACTAAGATTCTGATATGTGTGTGTGTGTGTTTGTGTGCGAGAATACCTCTAAGTATTCATGACCCACCCTTTGGTTGCAGTCTCTGACCAATTTGAAGCTTGTGCAAAGCTTCACAAGGATGGTTAGAGCAAAATAAATGTTGATGGTTCTGTATGTTTGTATATTAGTTTTTTACCTTGCTTTTATTAGATCGTTGTTTGTATCTGTTGTGAGCTGCCCGGAGTCACTTAGATGAGATTGGTGGCCATGCAAATCAAAGTAATACTAGTAAGAGTAATAATGATAAAACATCCCCTTTAAAGCAGCTCTACAAATCAACCCTCCCACACACTCTTGGAGAGAACCAGCTTTGTGTCACTTCTTGGGTGTCTTCCGGCACTTCCAAAACTGGAAACACTTCCTGGAAGTGCCAATATGCCAGTGCTTCTTCTGGGCACTGGGAAGTCTACCTGTCTCCCCCCACCCGAATTTATGTGAAGTACCTTGGGAGCAACTGCATCATTACTACACTCACCAAAGCAAATGATGTCATACCTACAGTGCATAATGCCTCACTGAGGTGAAATGTGTCTACTTCACCAGAGCCTTCTCTGTATTCCTCTTCCCTATTTCTCTGTTGCCTTAGATGGTCTCTAGTTAAGAAATAACTCCCAAAATTTGGCCCCGTATTTATTCTCCCGGAACAGATAGAAGGTATTCTCAGTTCTGTGCTAATTCCACCCATTCCATTTTTTACATCTTAGAGAACATGTGAGGGAAATAAATATGGGAAAGTCTTAAATATATTTTAAAAAACAAGGTGATTACTATGTCCCCTTTTTCTTCCAAGGAACATTTGATCCCTGTTCCTAAATCTTAGGAAGATTGGCTTTATGGGAGATGGCCATTCCACTTTCCTGTGTGTCATGAAAAATAGCTAAGCAAACTAGCAGTTGAATCTTACTTCAGTTTCCTGACAGAAGCTTTGTTCTGAAGCATATGAGTCAAAGATAGCTTCTGACTTTTAGGATTGACTATCAACAGTAATGAACCAGCAATCAAGAATTACACTGCAGACCAGCATTTGGTAGGGTATCAATGAGGGCCTTGGAGAAGATATTCTGATGCTATGACATGTCTATACCTGCAAAGATCAGATCATGCAGGCAATGGTTTTCCCAGTGACACTCTATGGAAGTGAAAATTGTACTTTGAAGAAGTAGGATAGAAAGAGTATTGATACTTTTGAACTTGATTACTGGAGAAGACTCTTGAGAATATCATGGCTAGCCAAGAAAACAAACAATCTGATCTTAGAAGAAATAAATCCAGAATTCTCAGTCAAGGCACAAATGACTGGACTCAAATTATCATATTTTGGACAAATATGTGAAGACTCCTCTCTCTTGAGAAGTCCATAAAGGTGGAAGAAAAGAGGAGAAGATGATGACCAGCAACAAGGTAGATGGACTCAATTATAGTGGTGATGGGTGTGTTGTTGGAAAGCCTGAAGGGCCAGACTGGGGACAGATCATCTTGGTCTGTTCCCAGAAGGTCTATCTATGTGGTTGCTAAAAGTCAGCACTGACTTAATGACGTATAATAAATCAGTCAATCAATATATCCTGCATATATTATTTATATGCAGAAAATATTCTGTAGAATATATTACACCCAACGCTAGTAATGCTATGTCCTGCAAAATGCAAATAAAGCATTTTTCTGATCCCTCCCCCAAGAAACAACTCCAAAATATAATTTTGGTGGGAGGAATATAAAATACAGAGGATTGTGTGATGAGATTCTTCTCCTGAAATCTGTCACAAATAGGTGGCAGCACCTAGCTAACCTAGCTAACCTCACCTACCTGAAAAAGCTAAGAAGGGTTAATTGGTTAGAATGTAGGGAGATTACCAGGAAATCACATGGCTATAGGCTAGATTAGGAAGACAAAAAAGCATTCCAGAAGACAGCAGTAGCTAACCACTTCTGCAGAAGTGCCAGAAGATATCACAGACCTATTCATGCAGCAAGCAAGAGTCAAATTTGTCATGACAAACAAGGATTTACTTAGGTTGCAACAGAGGCAAGCACCTTGATCTCCAAAAAGTTATGGACGATTGGACCGGGTTCGTAACTTCATGGCAGGCCACCAGGAAAAAACCCAGGGCTACAGATCAGACTAGGAATTTGGAAAAACATCCAGAAAGAAGACAATGTCAAATGAGTTTCAAACGGTTGCCAAGAAAACTGCACAGACATGACCATGAAGTCACCAAGAGGCAGACTTAATATCTTTACCTGAAAACCAAGAGAAAAGCCATGGGTTAATGTGAGGTATCCAAGATAGCTTGTGTATATTGTAGGAAAAATATTGTCTAACTGAGTAAGCATACAAGGAATGCAACTCAATGGCCATGAACAAATATCTCATCTTATATCTATCTTACATCTTATATCTGTTATACATCTTACTTTATTATTAGATTTTTATCCCACTTTTATTTTTGGTCAACTCAAGGCAGCATGCATACCTAAACTGTTAGCTTAGATACCCTTTTTCCTCTCTTTAAATGACAATAAAAAGATAAGGTGCAATTTAAAATATATCCTGACATCATCACTTGACAGACCAGAAAGTAAAACAAGACTTTAAACTGTATTATGAATGTGGACATTTCTCTGCTGATTAAAAGTGGGTATTGCCTCATTCCTGCTGTTTCCATGAATGAAGCCAGAAACATTACACCATGTGTACAATGAGAATGATGACAATTTGGCCATAGATCATGTGAGAGAGAAATGTGACACCACTCTTCAAATATCTAAAGGATTGTCAGGAAGAATTGTGTATTTGCTACTCTTCAGCTACAGTAACATTTGTGATTGATTTGATGAGAGACAATTATTTGTCCTCTACTACCTCAAAGGACTAAAGTTGTATCAGTGTTGGTTGTGGCTGAATATCACAAGAAGCTTTTTCATAGAAAAAGCAGCTCAAAAAAGGGCAATTCCTTGGAGGAATGGTGGACTGTCTTTCATCGGAGTTTCAAGCAAAAACTAGTCCAGCCCTTCCTGACCTAGGTAGCCTCCAGACTGATGGATTTCAGCTTCTAAAATGATTATGATTGCTGGGAATCCTGGGGAAATCCATACAGCCAGAGGGTGCCTAGCATCCAGTTCTTATATTCTGGATTCCCTGCATCAACCTCTGGGTGAGAATGCACACAAACACCAATTCTGTCATGACCAAAATCTAAAGATGCCATAGCACCTATTGTTATTGCCCCAACTCTGGGCTTTGAGGATGATTGTCAGTTACTGTATCTGTTCCAGGGGTCTGTAAATGTGTATTTATTTCCATCCTGCCTTGCAAATGTTACACTGCCAACTTTGCACTAACACTTCCCACGGTTGTGATTCTGATGCTCCTCAAGAAACATGTCAAGATGTCTTCTACCTATAAACCTCAATGTGTATCTTTCTCTCTCTCTTTTGTTTCACAGCTCCAATGGGAAATCAGTCACATGGGCCCAGAATGAAAAAAGTACAAGCAGAGGAGCCCATCTCTGGCAAAGGCTTTCAGTCCACATCAATAAGAAAGAGAACCCCAACCAAACCGCAGTGATCAAACCCTTCTCTAAAAGCACAGACAGCAGCCGGCACAGCAGTAGCACCACAATTGCCACTACATTTCCTGATTCCAGTGCCAAAACACTTTATGATGTCTCTGAAGCTGAGGAGCACTATCCAGCTCAATATCGAGCTCAAACTCCTTCCCCTATCAGTACAGTGAGCCAGAGGACTGCTTCCCTTAGCCGGACTGAAGATGATGTTCCAACGTTCCAGACTGAACAAGCCCAAAGAAGCAGTTCTTCCCAAGGATCCCTGATGGAGCAAATCAGCAGTGTAGTGACTCGATTCACTGCCAATATCAGTGAACTGAACTCCATGATGCTTTCTACCACCACACCAGGAGCAATGGTGACTACTCCTTTGTGCTCTTCCTACTTGATTCCAAGGGAAATACAGCTTCCAACCACTATGACAACATTTGCAGAGATCCAGCCTCTCCCTGCCATTGAGGTCAATGGAGCATCTCAGTCAGCCAGGAAGCCTTCTTGTGGAAGTGTCAAAGAAGGTCTTTCAGCAGAAACCCCAGCAGCTCCCAAACCCGAGCTTGAAGAGTTGGTGGCTTTAACGCCTCCCTCCCCTTTCAGGGACTCTGTTGATTCTGGAAGTGGTTCACCCAGTTCTCCAGCATCTGAATCTGCCCTTTGTATGCCGTCGTCACCGAAATATGACTCACTTATTATAAGGGATTACGCGCAGAGTTCTTCTTCTTTGTGAATGTAACTGAAGTTCAACTTTGGATCTCTACAGCTTCAAATTCATCAGGAGGTGAAGCCAAGCCTCCCAGTTCTCCAGTGTTTACAGACACCATGAGAGTAATGGGTCATTTTGGGGGGAAAAGGTGCAAGGGGAAAATAAAAACAACAGATGGGTTATGCTATTTTAAACTTACACACACACTCATACGTACACAACAAAACTTTTAGCAGATTTTTCGTGGCCTTAAAAACATGGGCTTTTCAATGGAAAAAGAAACACTGCATCTATTTCTGAGGGCTGATAAGGAGTCTCTTAAATCACTTACATGCCAAGTGCTTTGCATTAGTGAATAACAGGGAACTGTTGGTGGGGAAGAACAGGAAGTTGATGTTCAGAAGCTATCCAGTGTTTGTTTACTTGGATTCCTTAACCCAGAAGAAAACCTTGATCTTTTTTCAAGACATGGAAGACCAAAACCTTGAATGTACATTTTGTAGTGAACTCCAGACCTGGGACCAAGAGATCCAGCTCCTTTTCCTTTCAGTTGAAGGTGTTTGCTTTTTTTTTTAATGAAGATCTCAACCAATAGTAATATATTCTGTAACAACGGAACATTTTTGACTAAAATGGCAGTATGCTGCCCATTGATAAATGTAAGTTAACGCATTGCAGCACATGACTGCACACTCTAAGAGGGCTTTCCAAATGACTTCCCATCCGACCGATAAGTTTAAGAGAGGGGAAAATCTCTCTTCAGTTAAGTATCAATTTTCTTTCTTTCTTATCATGGGATTCATCTCCAGAACAACAGCATTCTGGGAGGATTTTTCCTGACTATTTCACCATGTTGCCAATCAATAATGAAGTAGCAAAAAAAAACAAAAC